GGGCAAGGGCTCGGGCTCCCAGAGCAGGAACTCGTGCAGCAGCGTGTTCACCGTCTCGGGGCACTCCAGCATCACCATGTGGCTGCCCTCGTCGATGAGCTTCAGGAAGGCCAGCAACAGGATCTGCGGGGACACGCGGAGCTCAGGCCGGGCGGGGGCCACGCTCTGCCAGCACGCAGGAGTGCACAGGGCACCCCGCACGGGCTGGAGGCTGTCGGCACTGTGAGCAACCCACTCAGATACAATGTGGCATCGGAAAAGCCTTTCCAAATAAGCCAGGCCTGGTGGCATCTTCGGAGGCTGAGGCAGGCAGGAGCGAAAGTTCTAGGCCCAGCATAGGCAATTTAGCGAGTTAGCAAGAGCACACCTCAAAAGCAAAACAGAAAAAGGGCCGGGCATGTCGCTCAGAGGGAAGCTCTGAGTGAAATCCTCACTACCAAGAAACACAAAAACAACCCACGCAACAATAACAATAAAAACAAAAAATCTTCCCATACATTTGACAAATGACTCCTGGTGACCAGCTGGGTCTCTGCCTCACCGCCAAGGCTTCTCACCTTTGGCCCCAGTAACAAGGGCGAGGACGTTCATGCTGTTTCTTTGCGTCCTGTGTAGGGTGCTGAGCAGCACCCACGGCCTCCACCCACAGGTGCCAGGAGCACCCGCTCCCATCTGGAATGGAAGTGTCTCCAGGCATTTCCAAGGGTCCCCAGGTAGAAAAACTCGCCTTTGCTTTAAAGATGCCAGCGCCGACCTAGCTGAAGTGCTCGACATTTTTTTTTGGTACCGGGGATCGAACTTGGGGCCCTTCCACGGGAGGCGGCGGAACCATTGAGCCAAATCCCCAGCCCTAGTTGAAGTGCTAAAGGCCCTGAGATCCTTTCTTTTTTTTTCAGACAGGGTCTTACTATGTAGTTGAGACTGACCTGGAACTCACTATGTAGCCCAGGCTGGTCTCGAACTCACAACGATCCTCCTGTCTCAGGCTCCCAAGTGCTGGGATTACAGGTGTGGGCCACCACACCTGGCCCCTGAGACCCTTTCTTCGGCGCCTAAAATTCCTGATTCCCCTTCGCCCAGATTTATATAAGCGGTCAATGGGAAGAGGTTCTTACTGCGTGGAATGGGGACAGGAAGCCCTGCTTTACAGTCTGCCTCTGACTCTGGATCCGATGCTCCCATTCCCCTGGGGTCAGAACAACACACTCACACGCAAAAACATACCTGGAGGCCACACCCAAGCACAAGCCACGCCCACCCAGAGCAAGGGTTCTATAAAGATGCCACACCCCCAGGAGCTGGGCGGGTCCTCAGGCCCCACCCACAGGACGCGGTCACGCCCACACAGAAAACCACGCCCCTCAAGAGGTCCCACCCACCCCGGAAGTCGCTCATCTCCAGGGATCGCACCCCGGTAAAGGCCTAGGCCCTGCGTGGCGATCTTTGCGGGTGGGCGTGGCGTGGCAGCTCTGGGCGCCAGCGCCTACCTCAGCCATGCGCTGGTCCTCCTCCACGGGCACAAATTTGTCGTGCATGCCATGGACAAGCAGCACGGGGACGGTGAGCTCAGCGTGGTAGACTTCGTCGCCCTCGGGCCAGTACTGGCCACTCATCATGGCCCGCAGCACGAAGGACGACACGTTGAACGCGTTGCCCTCCTTCAGCAGCTGCTTCTCCTTGGCCCCTTGGCGCGCAAAGCCGGCCCTGGGTGGGGAGACACTGCCAGCCGGGCCCCAGGACCCCCACCCGGTCCCTCTGTAGCCTTCCTCCACCCGTCTCAGGAGGAGCCGGTCACAGGCGTGGCACTCACTTGAGGAAGCTCCAGGCCAGGCAGGGCGACAGGCAGTGCAGGACGCACGCCGGCATATTGAAGATGGAGCAGATGCTGGGCTCCAGGGCCGTGGGGCCGCCACCATTGATCATGATCACTTTGTGTACCAGGTCCGGGTACTCGTGGGCCAGGAAGGTGCAGAAGGAGACGCTACCGGGAGGGAGAAGGGGTTAAGGGGTGGAGGGCAGTGGTCACCGGGTGCAGCCACGAGGGCCTTGCCCTCCCGTCCCTAGGCAGGTGCTAACTCCACCCTGGGGCCCTGTTGGGACTCATGCCCGAAAACTGTCAGATCTGTCAGAGCAGGAGTTGGAATTTTTACTTTGTTTCGTTAAAGGGAGGATTCAGATCCAGAACCTCATTTATACATGTTTTGTTTTTTGTTGGTACTAAGAATGCTACCCCAGGGGCTCTCACATGCTAAGCAAGCTCCCTACCATGGAGCTATACCTCTAGCCATTTTTATTTTTCATTTGGAGACAAGGTCTCACTAAGTTGCCCAGGCTGGCCCTTAATTTGCAATCCTCCTGCTTCAGCCTCCTGAGTAGCTGGGATGACAGACCTGTGCTTCCACATGGAGCTTGGCTACTTGTTTTTGTAAATAAGTTTCAATGGAATACAGCCTTGCCTGGCTGCTTTTGCGATGCAAGAACAGAGTTGCAAATTTTCAATAGAGATTGTATGGCCTGTGAACTGAAAAATTTTACTGTTGGGTCCTTTAAGAAAATGTTTGCTGGGCTGGGGATTTAGCTTAGTGGTTCTGCCTCCTGCTTTGCAATTGCAAGTTCCCAAGTTCGATACCCAGTACAAAGAAAGAAAATATCTACTATCTGGGCCTGGTGGTACAGGCTTGTAATTGCAGCATTCAGGAGGATGAAGCAGGAGTATGGCCTTGAGTTCAAGGCCAGCCTGGACTACATAGCAAGACTGTCTCAAAAATAAAAAAAGTTTGCTGTGGCTGGGGTAGAGAATGGTTGCCTAGCAGGAGGGAGGCCCTAGAGTCTGTGTCCTGCACCAAAAAGAGGAGGAGGAGGAGGAGGAGGAGACTGGCTCATTCCTGCCCTGAGGAGAGAAACAGGCAGGAGTCCAGCAGACATGAAAATGAGACTGTGCCCGTGAGTCACTGTGCGACACTGTGCAGCTTACTCAAGCTCTCTGAACTTTAGTCTCTGGTGTCCATGGAGTGGTAATGACATTCTTATGAGGGCAGAGGTAAACTGCCACACTTAATGAGAGGAACCGAGTTGTCATAAGCACGGACTTCTGGAGATGTCGTGTAAGCAAATCAGAGATCTGGTTTTTTCTTCTTCAGGGCAGGAGATGGAACCAGGGCCTCCCACAGGAGAGGAAGGAACTTTACACAGAGATGCACACCCTGTCCCGAGAGCTGAGCTGCTTTCCAGCCTGCTGCCTCTTCTGGATGCTCAACAGCATACTGCTTTTTCTCGTCTGACTGCATGGGCGATCATCCCTAAGACTGTCCAACTGACCAGACTCTTCTCCCAGTGGAAGGAGGCCACCATGGAGAGGGCTCTTGGGAAATGCCAGATTCACAGTCAGACTTCAGGGAAGGCAGTGTACAGCAGCCTGCGCCTTTGGGCACAGGACTGGGGAGATCCAGGTAGACCTCAGCCCCTGCCAACTGCACAGATCTTTGTCTAAGGCCGCAGTTCTCAGTGGCTGTGATTGTGCCCAGGAACGGACACCTGGCTTCTTGTAGAGACATCTGGGTGTCACGATCCCTACCCAGGGGCTCTGCAGGGCCAAGGCCAGGGAAGCTGCTAAACATCCCAGAGCCTCACAGAAAACACCCGCCAGGCCACAGGTATCAACAGTGCTGGGGAGGAAACACTACTTGAAAACAATGTGTTTTAGGCTGAGGGAAGAAGATCTAGTGTTCCATAGCATAGCAAGATGAAGGGAGCTCCCAACAGCCTGTTCTCCCTCGGTATACACACGCACTCACACGTATTTTAAATTTTGAGACTGGGCCTCACAGCTCCCCAGGCTGTCCTTGAACTTGGGATCCTCCTGCCTCAGCCTCCAGAGAAGGCCACCACACTTGGCTTATTTTATGACTAACTAGAAGACAGTTCCAAAAGGGCTGGAAGGCTCCAGACAGGAAATAACGCTAAGGAGATGAAGACATTAAAAAGGGCGACTCCACCATTGCTGGGTGCGTGCCTGTGGCACAGTGTCACGCCTTGCCCACCCAAAGGCACAACTGTGACATCAGTAAGACCTAATATCACGTCTAATTACCCTGGCTTGGTGACTCCAGGCTGTGTATACATATTGAATGATCACAGGGGACCCTGCAAATGTATACCATTTAACAATAATTCATAACAATGAATTTTTAAAAACAATGAACTATAATAATGATGGCAGGAATTCTCATCTTCTTGCAGACGTTAATTTTTTTTTTGTTTTGGTTTTTTTGAGACAGGGTCTCACTATGTAGTGGAGACTGACCTGGAACTCACTATGTAGCCCAGACTGGTCTCGAACTCCCAGGGATTCTCCTGCCTCAGCCTCCCGGGTGCTGGGATGACAGGTGTGCGCCACCACAACCGGCTTTCTTACAGATGTTAATTTAAAAAGTCCTCCTCCTCCCCTTTTTTGCTGCTGTGTTGGGGGTGGAAAACAGGGGCACCCACATCCTGGTCAAGAGCCACTGCCACAGTGTCCTAGCCCAGTGGTGCTTTTCTCTCTCTTCTTTCCTTTATTCCTTCTCTTCTCTCCTGTCTCTTTCTCTCTCTCTGCCCCTTTTCTTGTTTTTTGAGACAAAGCCTTGCTATATAGTCCTGGCCAGTTTCACATTGGCTATCTACCCTAGACTGGCCTGGACCCTCCTGCCTCAGCTACCCAACTGTTGGGATTACAAGTGAATGCCACTACGCTCTGCTTCTTTTTTGAGTCAGGGTCTTGTCGTGCAGTCCCGAGAGCCTCCAATTCTATGTAGCTTGGGTTGGCCTCAAACTGGCCGTCCTCCTGCCTTGCCCTTCCCAGTACTGGGATTCCAGGCGTGCACAAGACCGGGGGACACTGTTGGGGAGGGAGGCCGCCTTGGGGCGGTGTCTAGCTGCGGCACCCGCCCGGTCTTACCCGTAGGAGTGCCCGATCAGCACGTTGCGCTTCTTGGCGTAGCGTTTGAAGATGGCCCGCATGTCCTCGGCCAGCGCGTAGAAAGTGTAGGCAGCTGCCACCTGCGGCGCCGAGCTGGCCCCGTGGCCGGCCAGGTCGGGCGCCACCACCTCGTAGCCCAGGTGCACGAAAAAGTCCAGCTGCGCCTTCCAGATGGCCAGCGAGCCGCCCACGCCGTGG